GTGCGCCGTGCGGCTGAGAGAGACAGGCAGAGAAGAAATGGACTAGGGTTAAAGGGGCCGACCATGGGGGAGCGAGGTCTCGCCGCCATGAACGACGGCGCCATATCTTTTCTCTCGGCCCGGTTATTTTGCTCGCTTCGTCAGAGAAAGAGAAGGAGCGCGGGCGTAGAGAGAGAAGAGGGATGGGCGAATGACGCTAGGGTTTTGGGGATGAGCCGCGGCGCGGGTTTTTGTTTGGGCGAGACGCGTGGACGTCCGTCGGATCGAATCCAACGGCGCAGATCAACCGGGCCGCTCTCGGCCAAAGGGCGAAGCGAAAGGCCAGTCTGCTTGCTTGCCGACCTAGGGCCTGTGTTGTGGCTCGGGCTCAAGAAATAAGACTGTATGTGAGTGAAAGGGAGCTGGGCCGCCACCGTATAGTTCCGCCCAAGATCAGTTTTTCTTTTTTGTTTTCCAATAATTGCTTATTTCTGGATAATGAAAAATAGCTCAAAGAAAATAGAAAAAAGTAATTTTTCCTGTGGGTAAAATTCAAGAAATTGAGTATAAGTTTTCCGCTGCTAAATAAATAGTTTATTCTTCAATTATTTTGAACCAACGTGATATTTAATCGGAGAAAAAGAGATTTTGACTTGATTATGATGTTTTTTTCTGACCAACGTTGTTAATAACAATATCGTAATTTAATGATTTTATGCATTAATTGTATTTCTGCCCAACGGTGATGTAGAATTAGTGTGTAAGAACAGTTGTAAATTTTAATGATTTTATACATTAATTCTATTTCTGCCCAACGGTGATGTAGAATTAGTGTATAACAACAGTTGTATGTTTTAATTTTGACCAACGTTGGAATCAAGGCATGCAATTGCTGTTATTTTTATGTTAAGAAAAAGTTTGACCTGGCCTTCATCTTGGCTGAGGTGGACTGGGTAGTCACCTCACCGTGTCTGACTGATCCTACGGCACCGGTGAGGGAGACAAACAAGACTGATGCCACTTGGGCAACTAAAGAGAGGGATTTTGAATCACAAAAGATGTCATATGACCTGAGTATAGGAAGTGGGTCACTGCCAACAAGAAATGTTTGGCTGTGATAAAGAACACGATTGAACCTACAATTGTGGGCTCAATCCCAGAGTGTGATACGGTCACCGAGTACCTCGATAGAATAAAGAGTCAGTTCACTGGCTCTTCAAAGACATATGCTACCCAGCTGATAAGGCAGCTGGTGACATAGAGTTACTCTGGAAATGGTAGATAAGAGAGCTCACGATGCGTCGTCGAAATTATGGTACTGTCATTGATGCCATATTTCGAGGGAGAGAATAGAAAGACTAATTAAGAATAATATTCTTACTCTATTAGAGCTCTCAGATTTAGAACAATGCAGAGAATACATAAAAAAAAGTATGTAAAGAAAATTAAGAAAGATGCAAAACGAAGCACAGGAATGTTATAGATTATTCACACAGACATCTAAGTTCTATTTCCTGTAAAGAGTGTGGATGGTTATGATTCATTCATAACATTCACAGATGATTACTCTCGTTATGGCTGTATTTATCCAATCAAAGAAAGAACAGAAGCATTGGATAAATTTAAGATATTTAAGGCAGAAGTTGAAAACCAACTTAATTTAAAGATTAAGATAGTCGGGTCTGGCCGTGGGGGAGTACTACGGTGGGCATACCCCATATGGCCAAGTTCTTGGACCTTTTGCAAGGTTCTTACAGGAGAATGACATAGTTGCCCAATATTCTACACCGGGCGAACCTCAGCAGAATGGAGTAGCTGAAAGACGCAATCGTACCCTGATGAATATGGTGCGCGGTATGATAAGTTACTCCACCTTACCGTTGAGCCTGTGGATGGAGGCGTTAAAAACCGTCATTCATATTCTCAATAGAGTACCAAGTAAGTCGGTGCCCAAAACACCGTATGAGTTGTGGACAGGAAGAGTACCCTCACTAAACCACTTACGTGTGTGGGGGAGTCCTGCTGAGGCTAAAGTATTTAACCCAAACATTGTGAAGCTAGATCCCAAAACCGTAAGTTGCCATTTCATTGGCTACCCAGAAAAGTCAAAAGGTTTTCGTTTCTACTATACAGACATACATATAAAGTTTATGGGAACGAGACACACTGTCTTTCTAGAGGATGAAATGATGAGGGGGAGCATGGTAGCTCGAGAAATTGACCTTGAAGAGAAGCGGGTGTATGCGCCCACTTCGATGATTCATGAGCCATTTTTCTCACTACCTGTTGTCGCTGCACCGACAGTGCAAGATACTGTGGTGCCAACACCTGTTGTTATTCCGCCTGTGGCAACAATGAATGACGATGAGGAACCTGTTCATCAGGATCCTATAGTACCTATTGCCACACATGAGGGGGAGCAACAACAGCCTCAAACAGAAGATGTGCCAAATGTAGAGGCCCCTAGAAGGTCCCAAAGAGTTAGAAAATCAGCTATTCCTGCTGACTATGAAGTATACAACACTGAGAAATTTCAAATAGAGGATGATCCCACCTCATTTGAAGAAGCCATGAGAAGTGATCATTCATCAAAGTGGCTTGAGGCCATGGAAGATGAAATAAAATCTATGAATGTCAATAAAGTTTGGGACTTGAAAATAATTCCTAAAGAAACCAAAATAGTAGGCTGTAAATGGGTCTACAAAACAAAACTTGACTCTCAAGGAAATATAGAGAGATATAAAGTGAGACTTGTGGCAAAATGCTTTACGCAAAGAGAAGGGATTGATTACAATGAGACATTTTCTCCAGTTTCATGTAAGGATTCCTTCAGAATCATAATGGCATTAGTGGCACATTACGATTTAGAATTACATCAGATGGATATAAAGACAACATTTCTCAATGGGGACTTGGAGAAAAGTGTTTACATGGCACGACCGAAAGGTTTTGTCATGGAATGAAAAGAACGAATGGGATGCCGACTAAAGAAATCCATTTATGGATTAAAACAAGCTTTAAGACAGTGGTACTTGAAGTTTGATCAGACAATAAGAAATTTTGGGTTTAAAGAGAATGTAGAGGATAATTGTGTCTATGCAAAGTTTAAGAATGAGAAGTTTATCTTTCTTGTCCTATATGTGAATGATATCTTACTTGCTAGTAGTGATGTCAGTCTACTACTGGAGACAAGGAAGTTTTGTCCTCAAAATTTGATATGAAAGATCTTGGTGAAGCTTCGTTCGTTCTAGGGATCGAGATTCACCGAGATTGAAGTAAAGGAGTATTAGGACTGTCACAAAAGACACACATAGAAGAGATCTTAAAGAAATTCAGTATGCATAAATGTAGTCCCTCACCTGCTCCTATAGTCAAGGGCGACAGATATAGGGATTTTCAATGCCCCAAGAACCAATATGAGATCGATCAAATGAAAACGGTTCCATATGCTTCAGCTGTCGGAAGCTTGTAATATGCTAAAGTATGTACGCGCTCTGACTTGGCATTTGTTACCGGGTTACTTGGCAGATTTCATAGCAATCCTGGAACAGAACACTGTAAATTGGTAAAGAAAGTCTTGCGTTATTTGCAAGAAACGAAAAGCCTCATGATGACGTATAGAAGATCAGATTCACTCCATATAGTGGGATATTCTGATTCTGACTATGCGGGAGATGATAGAAAATCCACGTCTGGATATGTATTCACTCTCGCAAGGGGAGCTATTTCATGGAAAAGCTCAAAGCAAACCGTCACTACATCGTCCGCAATGTATACCGAGTTTGTAGCATGTTATGAGGCAACGGGACAGGTGAACTGACTAAAGAAGTTCATACCCGGTTTGAAGGTGGTTGACGACATCTATAGACCACTTAAGTTATACTGAGGTAATAATCTGACAGTACAGTATGTTCACAACAATAAGTCAAGTGGTGCTACCAAACACATCGACATAAAGTATTATATTGTGAAAGATAAAGTCCGGGATCATGTCATAAGTCTTGAGCATATAAGTACCGAAAAGATGCTCGCGGATCCGCTTACAAAAGGCTTACCACCCAACGTGTTCAGAGAACATGTAGCTAGCATGGGTTTAAGGGAAAGCCTATAATTCTTGGACAAAAGAAGGCCCAAAAGTTAAGTATCTATTTCATAACAGAGTGGTGTGTTGTAGCTGTTAAATCTATCGGCAATTGACCGTAACGATGAAACATGCTCTATGCGCTAATCTGTAATGGAATGAACAAAAGTAAATGCTATGAAAGATGGTAGTGAGATCAAGAGGGAGAATGTTAGTTGATCTCCACGGCCTATTGGGCCCTTGGATCTACGTCCTGATCGGGGGCGCCCAACCTTAATATAGTTGGTGGGCTCCTGTCGCACAGCACTATAAAAGGAAAGGTGGGGATCACGGCACGAGCTACGAGGTTCGTTGGAGCCGCCGTTACCACCGACAGAAAACCTAATCCGATCTAAAGTGAGTGCTGCCAGCGACGGAAAGCCCCACTGACTCCGCCGTCGCCTCTGCATCGCCACTGGACATCGTTTCCACCACGCTGGATACCACCGCGCCGAGCTCCCTCGACACCGGCGTCACGAGGCTGCGGCGCAACTGCGCCAGGGCGAACTAGAGGAACCCTAAGTAAGATGCTTACCCCGTTATCTAACAAAACGAAGTTTAGATTAAGAAAGTTTTGAGAACCCTTCAAAACTACAAGCACACACGATCACACAATTCTGAGCTTGGCGCGCCGAACTACAAGTCTGACCATTTCTCTTCATATCCATCCACATGAATTACTGGTGCCTAGCTAACAAAATAGAAGAATTCAGTAGAGAGGTCAAACAATGCACACTCATTCTCGACTGAATCACATTCTCCCAAATGGCTGGCTTTAAGTTTAGCCGAACAGATTTTTTTTTGTGAGATTCTGCTTTTCAGAATTTTTGATCAACCAAATACCACCAGTCAGATCACCTCTTATATGTACTGGTCATGGCTCGTACGTCACCCGGCGGCGCTACCTGCACCCGAAGCACAGCTGGACACCTGACGCCGCCGTTGGACGGACGATGTACCCGGGCAGAGACGGCTCCGGCAGCTCCTCGGCCCCGTCGTCGCTGCTAAGCATGGCGATGACCTGCCCCATGGTTGGCCGCCTTGCTCGATCCGACTGCACGCAGAGGAGCGCGACGTGCACGCACCGCAGCGCTTGCCGTGCCGCGTGCTCCTGCCCTTCCACGCCCAAGTCGCCGTCCACCACGTCGCTCCCTCTCTTCTCCGTCCAGTGCTGCCACACCTGCACGCGCATATATGACCACGGTTACTAACCTTATTAGCTTATGAACCAAGCTAGGAAGGGAAAGATATGCCAACAAGATTTCTGCGCTAGCTACTCACGTATTCCACGAGGCCTTCAGAGTCTTGGCCTTCGAACGTGTAGATCTTGTGGCCGGTGATGATCTCCAGCACCAACACCCCGTAGCTGTACACGTCAGACTTGATGGAAAGTAGGAACTTTCGGCCGGATGTGCACTCTGGTGCCATGTACCCGCTTCACAACAAACAGAGAGGTACGTCAAAGAAATGCTGCAACTTTGGTCTAACCACATCAACGTCAAAGGTCGTTTGGAAAATTTTTAAAAAATAAATTTCAAAATTAGAAAACTTAAAACGAATATTTGAACCTCTAAATGATTTTAGATAAAAAAGTTATCGACTAAAGTTGTATATATTACAAGGAACTTCAACTTTGGTATACACTATGTCAAACATCTAAGATCTTTTGAAAAATTTAAAATTTGAACTTTAAAATCTGATAACTTAAAATGAATATTTGATCCTCTAAAATATATTAAACAAAAGTTATCAACTATAAAACTGTAGATCCTCTATAGCACTATAACTTTAACATAAGCCCTTCGTCACATAAAAAATGCAATCGTAGGATTAGGCACGCAGACCAACGACAGGTAGGAAATTACGTAAATACCCCTGTAAATATCAGTCTCGTTCTGATCCACCGGCTGGGCATGGGATCCGCCCCTTGGGTGGCGCCGGGTGTGGGCTACGGCTGGCGCCTGAAGCGGAACGAGTGGAGGAGAAGGCCTCCATGCATGCACCAGTTTTGTTTTTTTATAGGAGATAGATGGATACTTCGTGCGGTGCTACTACCAGTGGTCCCACGCAAGAGTATGTGTGTGTGTTTTTGACAAAATTTAAACTCTAGAATGGTAGTCTTTTCGAGGGAGGGGGTAAAGTTTATATTCATATGACTTCATATGAAAAAGTTATGTTCTTTTATATGAGAAAAAGAGAGACAAAATTCTAGGTGGGCTCCACTACCACATAGGAAAATCACCCAATAAACCAGTTTGAAATGGTTAACTAGGAGGGAGAGGTATTTTGTCTGATTCTAAAGTTAAGGTGTGTATGTTGCCTGGTATCGAAGTTCGAGGGGATTTTTCAAATCTAAAAACACTACAACAATTAATAAGATCAAAAGTTGAAAGCAAAAAATTATAGATGCATAATATCACAGCAAGTGATGCGACTAAAGCTTACATAGCTTAACCTTATGTTTCAACTAAATTCTTATTCAATACCTACAATGGTGCAATGACAAATCTGACAACACATGGCCTAATATTACTAATGTGCGGCCCTCAATGCAACCTCCACATTAGGCCGCTCTTAATGGAGTTCAATTCTCATTTAAAAGGGTGCTACATAAACAATTTTGATAACATGGCAAAGTATTAACGAAGGGAGGATGACATAAATATCATCTAGATGAAACCCCATGGTAATTGTTTTCAAGTCTTAATTTTCATGGAACTAAATACAATGAGTGCATATGAAACACAAAGAATGATACTATGCATCGTAGAAGGTTATTTCAACCATCATTAATTCAAGTGTTATTAGCTAATTGCCTGTGTCTTCACAAGACGGCCGATTGGAAAGGAATCCTATATATTATCATAATAATCAGAAACATATGGCTAACTATAATCATCATCAAGAATAATAGCAATTGGATATGTCTTGTTTTCTAAAAACATAACCTCCTTCTGCCATTATGCGAAAGCATAAGTAACCCATAAATCTACATCTAAACAACTAACATCTACCATTATAGAATATATTAAATGAACCCCTAGTTTTTATTTTAGATTACCCACCTTTGCCACTTTGAAATATAAAGTGATCTCTTCAATTTCGTTCTAAATTACCAAATGTGTCATTATAAAACATAAACTAAAATATCTATAAAAAGTACATCTAATCACCGACATAAGTTATTACAAAAAATAATTAAATAACCATAAGACACTATATATGTTTGTAAACTATACCATTCTACTACTGTTAATTTCAACTAGACATAACATCTTCGGTACCATTCTATACTACTCTTAATTTCAACGTAACCATAACATATTCAGTATCGTGGTGCAGGCTTAAACGACCGCCTATGTCATTGTAGTAACTAAGAGTGGAGTCCAAAAACTAGAACCTATTTTTTGAATAAAATATAAATGAGAAACAATACTGAGCACAAGAGTTTGAACTTAACCTGTGGATAGAAAAATTGAAACAACAAATGAGATCATCAAAAGTTGAAAACCAAAATATAAATTCATAATGTTACAAAGATGGATGCAACAAGAGTTGGTATAACTTAAGCTAAGGTTTCAGTTAAATATACATACTCCCTCTGTCATTGAATAAATAGATTCCTAGAGTTGTCTTAAGTCAAACTTTGACCGAATTTCTAGAAAAACTCTTCAAGATTTATGATATTAAATCTTATACTCTCATAAAGCAAAACCCCACTAGCTATTTATCTCAACATGCAAGCTATCCAACTAGGCAATGCACTATCACATACAATTAAAATCCACTAAGCAAAACCCCACTAGCTATTTATCTCAACATGGAAGCTACCCAACTAGACAATCCACTATCACATACAATTAAAATCCACATGCAACTGTAATGTCCACGTCAACAAGACACATAAGTATTTTGTTGTCCACGTCATCATACCCGCAATCCACTAATCCGCAATTCCCGCGGCAACGCGCGGTGTATGCTTCTAGTTAGTATTATTAGATATACCATATAATATATTTTCATAATGCGCTTATTTTATGCCATAGTTGTTGTTACTCTTTCCTATAAAGTTAGTCAAACTTAAGATAATTTGACTTGCACGAATTCTAGGAATTGATTTATTTGGAGACGGATGGAATATTAAAATTCACATAGTGCATTGCAAAGGATGAAAACACATATGTAGTAGTTTGTAAATGTATCACAACCGGATAAAGATTGTATCTACATTTGTATTGTCTTAGGAAATAAATATATAACATATACTAAGTTTATCTATGAAACCCTTAATACTTATGTAATGTATCTACATATGCATGGGTTGTTTGACTAGTCAGATAAAATTCAAAAGGCATGAACAAAGCGTGTAGTTGTGAGCGTTGATTGCTGATGTACCTACAATGTTCCAGCGACCTTCTCAGTGCTCTCATGAGTTTTCTCTTTATCGTACATCCTCATGAGATCAAAATCGGCAATCTTTGGGTTGAAGTTGAAGTTATCGTCGAGAAGTACATTGTGTGGCTTGAGGTCCCGGTGAATGATCCCCTTGTCGTGGAGAAACCGGAGGCCTCGAGCAACCCCTAAGATGATGTTGAACCACGTAGCCCACTCTAGCTTCTCACCTTGAAAAGATGCTGCAATTGCAAGCCAATTGTTTGGGTGTTTTCTCCTTGGTAATATATATATATATATATATATATATATATATATATATATATATATATATATATATATATATATATATATATATATATATATATATAGCTGGCTACAAAATAACTTATTCTGTAGCCACCTTGAGTTACGATAATTACTATGTTAATTTACGAGATTATAATAACTCCTTACTAAGTGGTTTACTATAACGTTATGGTAAATATCCCTATGTGTTATAGGAACCCAACTATCATAAATATGTATTGACATTATCGTAAATTAGTATATAAAATTATCGTAAATGGAAATGGCTACAGGCTTATTTTTGTAGCTGACTACTGAATATACTCCACACACACACACACACACACATATATATATATATATATATATAATTCATAGTTGGAGAAATGAACTTACCTTTGTACCAAAATTTATCCAAGCTGTTATTAGGTACGTACTCGTAGATGAGGAACCTCCCTTCCTCTTGGAAGCAGTACCCTAAAAACCTCACAAGGTTCATGTGGCGCAAGTTAACCACAATGGAGATCTCCCTCTCAAGTTCTTGTATAGTCCTCTTGGAATCCCTGAGCCTTTTCACTGCTACTTCCTTCCCATTTTCAAGCGTGCCCTGCACTTCTCCCATCATTACTTATGTTCCAAGCTAAGCTTTGTCTAATATTAAACTAGAATTAATGATAAACATGTTCTTGGTAACTATTACCTTGTATACTGTTCCGAATCCACCGCTCCCTAGCTTGTTTCTACTCGAGAAGCAACATGTAGCAGCCTCAAGAACCTGGTAGTTGTAGAGTTGGCAGCTCGTTCGTCCTCCGTCGTCGTCGTCGTCGTCGTCGTCGTCGTCGTCGTCGTCGTCGTCTTCTTCCCTGCTCAAATGCTTATTATTTCCTTGGTCATGCATAGTCTCCTCTGGCATGTCATCTGCTTGACGATTCAAAACAAGGGGTTCTAGAAATAATTAGTGATATGTCAAGGTTGACATATATAAGAGAAAACAGAAAGTAAAGAGAAGAAGAAACCAATTAAGAAAAGAAAAGACTGCCGGCTTGAATCACCTATGACATGTCCTCTCTGAGCCGGTCGCCGTTTTCGACAGTACCATATGGTGAGTGCAAGGATGATGGCGGCAATCGCCAACCCTGTTTCAAGAGAAACGATCATCCATTTGGATCTATTCGACATTCCCTTCCCTTTGCTTTCTGCTGATCCGGTGGCCGTTTGATCTATAACAAACAAACCAAAAGGGAAAGCTATTGAATAGTAGAAATACAGACAGTCGGCAGTCCTGTACTACTGAAACAGGGTTAATGAACAGTAGCACACTGAAGTAGAAACAATTGGAGAGTGACGGAGGCGAAGGATGCATAGAGTAAGACTACAATAATGAGAATAGTTTTTACGATTCGGTGCGGCAGCAGCAGGCTGTGGGGTATGACCGCCAGGGGGCGCTGGGGTGGGTTGTGCAGCCCCAGCCCCACCCCCGGGAGGAAATCCGACTGTAGCATTAGCGACGGTGGTCCTGGATGCTGGTGGAGGTGGTGCTCGTGCTTGTGCAGGCGGTGGTGGATTACGACCACCAGGTGGCGCCGGCACAGCAGGTGTAGCAGCCGGAAGGGTCCCAGTTACGTTAAGTCGTTTGATCTCGATGCTGCCCCCTATCGTCGCCTCCGCGAGCAATCGCAAGGCCAGGGACTCGGTGTTGTAGAACGGGTAGCTCTCGTACCGGGCCATGCAGCTGAGCCGCAGCACCTGCATCCCCGCGCTGCCGTTGTACGCCCTGTCCACCACCTCGAGGGCGCCGCGGAGGCAGCGGCGGCAATCGGCGCACGAGATCCCCGCGGCGCACTGCGTGAGTCCATAGATCCGGCCGCCTGACGCAGTCCCAGTGCCGGCACCGACGCTGCTGCACATGTGGCTGCTCATCGTGCTGTTCGCCACGGTGGCGAGGAGGCGCCTCACCTCCGCTTTGGCGCCCTCATGTGGCAGTAGCGCCCGGCTCGCGTTGAACACGGTCGCTGTGTACTCGTCCTCGCGGAATCGACCCGGGTCGTGGTCCGAGTACCGTAGGAAGCAGGCGTCATGCCAGACCGCCGACGCCGCGCACGCCGTCCCGGCGATGAGCTTGGAGGCCGCAGCGAGGCAGGCGGCGCAGTCGGAGACCGAGACGTCGGGGCGGCACTGCGCGACCCCGTACATGTTCCGGTTCTCGGGGACGACGTACGAGGACATGTTGTGGGACATGTGCGCGACGCCGTAGGCGCCGGCGCACACGGCGGCGAGGAACCTGGTGATCTCGCTGCTCGTGACGGCCGGGGAGTGGCTGGAGCACAGGGTCAGGGTGGGCTGCTGAAGACCGGCGCCGTGGGACGACGGCGACGACGAACGCGTCGGGGTCGCCAGTAGCGCGGCCGCCAGGAAGAACAGCACCACCATGTTCACGGTGGCCGACGGCGACGCCATCCCTTCACGTCTTCCTCTAGATTAATCCTTTGCCGTGGTCCTGTAGGGAAAAATCATTTGGCATTTCATCACAGCAATCAGCAGGTACAAACTTTCCACGTACATTTAACCGTGACAGGAAAGTATACCGGCGCGCGGCCGGGCGAGAGGACTTGGAGTGACGACGAGGTAAGGAGTCCAGGTCTTCAGGGCGCTGGATGGATGCGGCCATGACGGTTGACGGGTGAAGTAACGATGACCATGCTGTCATTCAAATATGTGCTCACGTACGTTTGTGAAAAAATGACGACCATGCAGTCATGCTGGCACGTTTTGATAGCGCAATGTGTGGTCCTCCGTGATCAGTACCCCTCAGCCCCGCGAAGGCCCCACGAAGGTGGCGCCGGGCATTATCAAACAGTACATAATGCTGAATAGTGCTAGAATATATTTGTCATTTTGTCTGCCGACAATTTTTACTTTATGGGACTGAGGGCAACTTCAATAGGTGTGAACGGCAATGACTTTTGTTTATGGGAAAGGGCCAAAGGGGATTGTATTAAAACTTGGCACAGTACATTATCAAATTATACATAAAAAATCTAAAATGAAAAATACATAATATTTTATTCAGATTCTTCTATCGTCTTCTTTGCCTAATATCTTCTCTCGAACGTAGGATCCAAAATGCAGGCCTTATGCTGAATCTAACGACCAACCTCAAAACATTGGACATGCCGCAAGATCCAACGTTTCGAAACCAGTCGAAAACGCATCTGAATCGATGAAAGAATATCGACACTTGCATCGTCGGGTACAACATAGGATGCAGATTTATCATCTTGAGGCCTTGATTTCCTCTCCGCCGCCATCGACGATGAGATCGATGACCCGAAGTCGCTGTCTTCGTTGGGAGCACCCAGAAGCACCCCATCCCTTTGAAAGGTCCTAATATAGCTAGAGGGGGAGGAGTGAATAACCTATTTAAAACTCTACAAATCCACTAGAGCAATTTGTTAGTAAACTAAATGGCGAAATACAAATTTGCTCTAGCTCTACAAGGGTTGCAAGCCTCCTACCAACAATTCTAGTTGCTATGATCTCTATGCACACAAGAGGCTAAGTCACTGCTCACTAAGAGCTCTCAATAAGGCTACACTAAAAAGCTCCACTAGATAAAACTAAGGTACCAAGCATGCTCTCAAATCTAACTACACTAAAGAGCTTGCTACAACTAGTTTGCAAGAAAGTAATGGATTGAGTAGGGTGATTATACCGCCGTGTCGAGGAATGAACCAATCACAATATGATGACAACCAATCACCTGGAGAAATCCAATCACACAAGAGACATAAGATTTTTCTCCTGAGGTTCACGTGCTTGCCGGCACGCTAGTCCCCGTTGTGTCGACCAACACTTGGTGGTTCAGCAGCTAAGAGGTGTTGCTCGAATATCGTCCAACAAATGGACACCGCAAGTACCTACCCACAAGTGAGGTAACTCAATGTCACGAGCAATTTACTAGAGCTACACCTTGCGACTCTTCGCCGGGAAAGGTGCAAGACCCTCACAATCACCGGAGTCGGCCACGAACAATCACCAACACATGTCGAAGCTCCTCCACTGCTTCAAGCCATCTAGGTGGCGGCAACCACCAAGAGAAACAAGAAATCCACAGCCACAACGATCCCCAAGTGCCACTAGATGCAATCACTCAAGCAAATGCACTTGGAATAACTTCCAATCTCACTATGATGATGAATCAATGATGGAAATGAGTGGAAGGTGTTTGCCTAGCTTCACAAGGATGTAAAGTATGTCAAAATGTCAAGAGAGTGAGCCCCAAGCCGGCCAAACACTATTTATAGACCCCCTCAAACGAATAGAGCCATTAGGGTCAAAAGGGGCCACTCTGCGCGCTGACCGGACGCGCCGGCCTCAATGTCCGATCGTGGGATGGCCTCCATGTGTCCCCACCTTTGAACTACAGCCGCCCGATCTCAATGGTAACTAACAGTCAGCTCGAGTCAAATAGAGATCGGACGCGCCTCTTGAGAATGACCGGACGCCGATGCCTCAGAGTCCTGTCACGACGATTTCTATGTAGAGAGCTCCCCGAGCGTGTTTTTCAAGATTGAACGCGTCCGGTCGCATAAGACCGGACGCACCCCTGCGTCCGTTCCTCACAACGCTCGCATAGAGTGATGATGCTAGCGTACGTCATGCCTTGACCTGACGCAGGCCCTGCGCGTCTGGTCGCACGTTGGTTCCTACGTTCGATCACCAAGCCGAGCGCTGCCTCGGTCGCTTCATTCTCGCCCTCGGCCAACTGTAGCACCACCATGCTAAAAATGACCGGACGTGGCCCGAGGAAGTCCGATCACCCCGGCGCCAGAGCCCGATCGCACACCTTCGCCTCCTTTTCTTTTTCTAACTCCTCAACCGCTTTGCCCTTGCTTCCAACTTGCTAACTACAAAGTGTAGAACTTGTGTGCACGTGTGTTAGCATTTTTCAAAGCATTTTACAAGGGTCAAAGTTAGCACACTAGGTTCCTAAATGCATATGCAAGAATCATGTCACATAGTGGCACTCGATAACCGCTTAGCCAAAGATTTCCCCTCTTTATAGTACGGCTATCGATCCTAAATCGCTCACACCCTCTATGGTGTCTTGAGTGCAAACAAAAAATGGCTCCTATCAATGTACCTTTGCCTTAAGCCCATTTTTATTTTTCTCTTTCTTCTTTTCAAATGTGAAGCACTTGATCATCTCTTTTGTGGCCATCACCTTCACCATGACCATCATCTAGCTTCACCACTTGGAATAGACTACCTCATCTAAATCACACACTTAGATCAAAGGTTAGTCCTAGGTTTCTTCAATTATCCAAAACCAAAGTAGGGCTTTCAATCTCCCCCTTTTTGGTAATTGATGACAACCTATTTACAAAGATATTCAATGAAATCTTTTTGGATTCATGTTGCTTGCCCAAACATATTACCATGTGTAAAGGTTATGGACAAGTTTCATCAACCCAAACTAGTAGTATTAGCTCCCCCTACATATGTGCTAAGAGTTTGGATTTAAAAGCTTGCACATATGCATGAATTGGAAGTTTGGGAGAGTAATCGCTATCAAGTGATGCTAAGGTGTAAAGAATGGACCTTTGAAGCGTGATACCAATCGGAGTTGCCATCTGAACACCATCCTTAGCACCATGACTTGCTAGATATCACTTGAAAAACACAAAGAACTAGATACCTCGTGAGATCAACATTAGAAGTAAGGTTTTAGTACCACTTGTAAAAGATCAAGGATTATCTAGCTATCCTATACATGCTAGTTTTCATTTCATCAATCATTTTCTATAATCTAGCATACACCACACAAGCACGAAAATGGAATTTAAGAACTTGTGGCATGCAAGCAAACATATGTAATGCACATTCAAATGCAACATACAAGTTTATGATCTTGCTCTCCCTACTTATGTGCTTTAAATTTTAATTGATCCCCTTATAATGTCATTTCATTTGTTTGCTATAATGTCATTTCATTTGTCTACTCCCCCTATCTTACTACCTTTTTGAATTTCTCTCCCCCTTTGTCAACAATTAGCACAAAAGGTGAGCTCAAATTTTAGATAGGTTGGGGTGAAACCATATTAAGTGAGGATCATTTGCCCAATTTGGTTCAATCTAGATCACTTGCAAAAGGTATTTAACTCGGTTTGATCCAAGGGCAAGCTTCTTCACACCTCATTGCAAGGGTTATCTTGACCATGTTGAGTTAAACACTTATAACTCATTTTTTAGATCAAACACTAGGTTCATAAACCCACAAACATGTCATATGTTACCACTAGTTCATTTCAAGAAAACAAGCAATAGCGGTATCATACAAGCATCCAATTCATTTAATTTTTATGAATGAGCCTAAGACATGATAGGAATGACTAGATGAACTAAACAAGTCCTTAGAAATGGATGAATAAAATGTCAATCAACTTTACCTTGCTTTGCTCGAAGGAGAGGCATGTCATATAATAGGGCTGCATCAACACATATTTGAAAAGTCAAGTATGTTCAATTCATTCCTTAGCTTGCAAAACCTCTTCTCATCAAGTGGCTTGGTGAAGATATTAGCAAGTTGATCATCAGTGCCCACACTCTCAATGTAAATGTCGCCTTTTTATTGATGATCTCTTATGAAGTGATGTCGGACATCTATATATTTTGTTCTTGAATGTTGAACCGGGTTGTTGGTGAGCTTCATGGCACTCTCATTGTCACATAGCAATGGCACTTGTTTGAACTTGATTCCAAAGTCACTCAAAGTAGAATTCATCCAAAGTAATTGAGCACAACAACTATCGGCCGAAATATACTCCGCTTCGGTGGTTGAGAGTGCAACACTATTTTGCTTCTTTGATGATCAAGACACAAGTGATCTTCCCAATAGTTGACATATGCCCGATGTGCTCTTTCTCTCAACTATGCATTCCGCATAATCGGAGTCTAAATATCCAATCAACTCAAATATTGCTCCTTTGGGATACCACAATCCAACATTTTATGTATGCTTCAAGTACCTCAATATTATTTTTGTTGCCTTCAAATGACTCTCTCTAGATGAGGCTTGAAATCTAGCGCACATGCATACACTAAACATCACATCCGGCCTTGATGCGGCCACATAGAGTAGGCTTCCAATCATAGATAGATACATCTTTTGATCCACCATATTGCCACTAGCATCACTATCCAAGTTTTCATTTGTCCCCATTGGTGTACTAATAGCTTTAGCATCATCCATTCCAAACTTCTTGAGCATGTCTTTGATGTACTTGTCTTAACTCACAAATGTCCTATTCTTCATTTGCTTGATTTGAAGACCAAGGAAGTAACTAAGCTCTCCAATCATGGATATCTCAAACTCACTTGCCATCATGTTTCTAAACTCCTCACAAAAATCTTGATTGGTTAATCTAAATATGATATCATAAACCACTACTAGAAAT